CCCACACACACACCTCTCTCCTCTCCAATACGTGGCAATAGAAAATAATAATATGCATATTTAAAAAAAAAACAATACACAGGCAGAAGTTATGGAGATGTGCACTTTTCACGCGGATCAAGCACGCTACAAGTCACGTGGAATTCCACAATAACACGGAGTATATGAATGAACATAAAAAATAAATACTATTATATTCAGAGCTGCTAATGGTTGTCATCAACCCATAGTTCCATAAATGGTCGATTTTAAGCATAAGGAGGCTATCCCCAAAAAAGGCTGTTTTGAGAAGATTGAAGGTAACGTTTTTGGACCCTTGTTCCGTTTCTTTAAAAGACAAGGAGAGTTTTCTCTATAACCAAACAAAAACACCAACAAATGAAACCAAACTTCTCCTATAGGTATGGCAATGCCCACTTTTGGTGTAGGTCAGGATTTCTGGAAAATTCCCGAAATCTGGGTTAGCCTGCTTGTCCTTAAAGGCGGACATTCTAGTAGCCGCATTCCATCATGGGATTAAACAATTCATATTGCATATGGCGCTTAGACGTCCGTGTATCTGTAAGTGTTGACAGTTTTGATTAGACCACAAGAATTACATTGTGCTTCCATCAGCTCTCTCTCTCTCTCTCTCTCTCTCTCTCTCTCTCTCTCTCTCTCTCTCTCTCTCTCTCTCTCCCCACCTGCTATTTATCTTTCTACTTTTTATTTTGTTTCCTTTCCCCCCCAACCCCAACTCACCCCTCCCTCACCCCTCCTTCCACTCCCAAATCCACTCAACCCTCCCTCATTTCCCCTGCAACCTCCACTCAACTCTCCCCCCTTTCCCACTCACCCCCACTCACCCCCACTCTCCCCTCTCCATCCCCCCACCCCACCACTCACACACACACGACCTGCGACAGTACACGAACCTCCACGAGACAGGTCACGTGCTAGACCAGATCCACGTGCAGGCCAACCCTGACCGGAACCTGTACATGAGTGTCAACCCGGAACATGTGAGTGCAAGTACGTGACCCGCATTTACCCCCTCCCCCC